TACCTTTACGCTCTTACCCCCATTCCTTATCGGGGGTAGATAAGGGTGAATATTACTTTATTTTATACTCTATTTTTCTTTAGATAACTATTTTGTACTATGGTGTACTTATACATTAAATCTTTTCTGCACTTGAGTCTTTTTAAATTTTTTACATTAGATAATATCTATACTTGAGTATTTTTATAATTTACATAAACTTTTAGCTATTTTATACTATTTTTATGGTTTATTTTTACATTAAATCTTCTCTAACCTAGTGTTACATAAACTTTTAACTATTTCGTATTATTTACCTTAAAGGTAAGTTAGAAAAACCTGTGGTTAAACAGGGGTTAAGGGGGGGGGGATTAAGCTAGGTAGGATACCTAGGATAACGGGAAAAAAGATTAATTAAACAACTAACTAACATTTACATTAGTTAATATACTAAATTCACCTTAGGATTGTAAAGGTAAACTAGAGAAAGCGTGTGGTTTAGGAGGACTAGTTAAACATCATTCTAATGAATTATTATTTCTAGTAAAGTAAACTTGGAATGTATCACTGAATAACTGAGGAGTCATTCAAGGATATCTTGATACAGCTTTACCTTGTGTAAGTTGTTTATAAATAATAGTTAAGAAGTATCATGTAGCTACTACACTAATAATAGATCCAATACTACTAATTAAATTTCAACCATAGAAAGCATCAGGGTAATCACTAATTCTTCTAGGCATACCTTGTAAACCTAAGAAATGTTGAGGGAAGAAAGTAACATTAACACCTATAAATAAAACTCAGAAATGAACTTTAGCAGCAAAATGATCATAAGATAAACCTAAAATTTTAGGAATTCAGAAGTATCAACCACTAAATAAAGCAAAAACAGCTCCCATAGATAAAACATAATGGAAGTGAGCAACAACATAATAAGTATCGTGAAATGCTACATCAAGTGAAGCATTAGCTAATACAACACCACTTAAACCTCCAATAGTGAATAACACAACAAAACCTAAAGCAAATAACATAGGTGGAGTTAAATGTAAAGAACCACCGTAACATGTAGCTAATCAACTAAAAATTTTAATACCTGTAGGTACAGCAATAATTAAAGTAGCAGCAGTAAAGTAAGCTCTAGTATCAACATCTAAACCAACAGTATACATGTGATGACTTCAAACTAAAAAACCTAAAACACCAATAGACATCATAGCATAAACCATACCTAAATAACCAAAAACGTTTTTACTTGAAGCAGCAGAAATAACTGTACTAATAATACCAAATCCTGGTATAATCATAATATAAACTTCAGGATGTCCAAAAAATCAGAATAAATGTTGGAATAAAATAGGATCTCCACCACCAGCTACTTCAAAGAATGAAGTGTTAAAGTTTCTATCAGTTAATATCATAGTAATACCTCCAGCTAATACAGGTAATGATAATAATAATAATACAGCTGTAATAATAGTAGCTCATCCAAATAAAGCTAATTTGTGTAAACGTATACCTGGACTTCTCATATTTAAAATAGTTGTAATGAAATTCATAGAACCTAACATACTACTTATACCACTTAAGTGTAAACCAAAAATAGCTAAATCAACACTAGGTCCACTATGAGATTGTATACCAGATAAAGGTGGATATAAAGTTCAACCAGTACCAGCTCCATTTTCTATAGTAGCAGAGAATATAAATAAAAATAAACTAGGTACTAATAATCAAAAACTAATATTATTTAATCTAGGAAATGCCATATCAGGACCACCCACTAATAATGGTAATAAGAAATTACCAAATCCTCCAATTAATGCAGGCATAACCATAAAGAAAATCATTAAAATAGCGTGAGCTGTTATTATACTATTATATACTTGATTATCAGATATATATTGAACACCAGGTGCTGCTAATTCTAATCTAATTAAAACAGAAAATGCTGTACCGATTAAACCAGAAAATAAAGCAAACATTAAATATAATGTACCAATATCTTTAGCATTAGAAGATAAAAATCATCTTTCTTGTCATTCTGATGGATTTTTAAAATTAAACACAGATTGTTTAGTTTCGGTTAAATCATAATTAGACTCTTTTGTTGTTAATGAAGAGTATTCTCTTATACTAGGGGTGAGATCAACAGACAAAAGAATTACTAATTTAAACCTTTTAAATAGTAAATTAAAATTAAAAAAAAAAAATGTAAACTAATATTAAGTATTAGTTATGATATTTATAAATTAAATTAAATTAAATTAAATAAAACTTTATAAACTATAAAGAATAATAATAGTAAACTTATAAGTTTGACAAACTACTAACCAATATTATATATTTATTTTTATTTTAATTTTATAATATTCATGTACTAATTTCTCTAAATTATTAGAGTTTACACATAAATTATATATATATATATATAAAAAAAATTTAGACGATATAAGTAAACTATATAGGGAAGGTACCTAGAATTGAACTAGGATATACTGTGCCACATACAGCCGTTCTACCATTGAACTATACCTACCTAATAATTGTATATTAAATTATTTATCTTATAATTAAGCTTAATATATTTATACACAATATTGTATAAAAATAATACGTAATAACTAATATAAATATTAATACAAAAAATAATTAAGCCGGGAGAGAAATTCGAATTCTCATTCTTAATTCATGAAATTATTGTTCTACCTATTGAACTATCCTGGCTAATACAATAAATACGAACAATAAAAATCATAAATAAAATATTATGTAATAAAAAAGTTATAAATTATTATGTTGGGGCGACTCGAACACCCAATAGTAAATACCAAAAATTTATGACTTACCTATTAGTCGACAACATAAATTAAAAATATAACTTTATTAATATAGGTAACAAGACTTGAACTTGTAAAGTATTAAACTTCCCCGTCCTAAGCGGAGTCTGGTTACCAATTTCAGCATACCTATACTAATAGTGTAAAAGTTTCCCATATATGCTCGAGATAAGATTTGAACTTACAACCTAATCAGCTTCAATGATTCGCTCTACCAATTGAGCTTCTCAAGCGTTAGTTATCATAACTATATTGTGGAGTTATCAGGACTCGATCCTGAAATAACGATATGCAAAATCGTCGTTTTACCAGTTAAACTATAACCCCTAATCTATCCAAAAAACGATTCGAACGTTTACGGCTTGCGCCACTTAAGCTTAAATTAAGACTGTCTACCAATTCCAGCACTCGGATTATATAAGACTAAAATGACTTGAACATTTACTCAAACCATCATGAGTGGTTCGCTTTAACCAATTAAGCTATAGTCTTTGATTGCGTACTTAGGGGTTGCACCTAAATTACAAGGTCATGAGTCTCATGTGTTACTATTACACTAATACGCATTAAGAGATAGGTGAATTGAACACCTGACCTTTCGCGTGTAAAGCGACAGCTCTACCAACTGAGCTAATCTCTTGTAACCCAAGGGAGATTTGAACTCCCGCACTAACAGTGAAAATGTTATGTCTTAACCAGACTTGACCATTGGGTCTTTAATAAAATATATAAAATATACCTATAGCCTTATGCGAGTATCGATCTCACTTCTACCGATTACAAAACGGTTGCATTACCATTTATGCTAAAAAGGCTTTATAAATAAAAAGATATTTAATAATATTTAGTATAATATTATTAATAATTAGTACTTTGTATCTAAAAATGTTTTCATTCTTACAACCAAAGCCTATATATTGTTTAAAAATATAACAATATAGTCGTAGTGTTCTACTACGTTTAAAAGTATAATAAAGTTTGCTTCGCGTTTAGATGCTTTCAACACTTATCTTTAACTGATGTAGCTTTCCTGCCATGCCTATGTTGTCTGGTTACAGGCTCAACACGTGTAACAATACTTAAGTATAAGTATTAGTTATCATTATAAAAACTTATAATATAAAACCATAAACAACAGGTAAACCAGAGATCAATATACCCAACTCCTTTCGTACGAAGGGGCTATCTTTAATCTACTTTATGTTCCTCTAGAAGATAGAAACCATACTGTCTCACGACGTATTAAACCCAGCTCATGTAGCTCTTTAATCGACGAACAGTCGAACCCTTCATGATTTCTGCATGCATGAGGATGAGCTAAGCCGACATCGAGGTGCCAAACCGCGCACTCAATTTGTACTCTCTTGCGCAAATTAGCCTGTTCAATTTATGTTATCATAAAAGATACAACCTGAGGCTGTATAATAGAGCTATATACGCCCATATTACTTTTATTTCCATTTTTCTCAAAACGGTTCAGACTATTTCATCATCTTTATTAATTATATTAAGGGAGAGAAAATTATATAAAAACATAAGATAAATTAAGTACCACTTACTCAACCTTTAACTCCAAAAGCTCCAACACGTGAAGTAGAGTTAATAACAGTATATTGTAAATTAGCTTTATCATTACCTCTTAAAAGTGGTGTAGGGTAACCTTTAATAGAAGAATAAACATTTTCTAAATTACCTTTATATTTAGTTCTACATATAGATCTAGAAGCTGAAAAACGTCTAGTTAATCTACCTGCAGCTTGTAATCTAACACCAGATACTCTTTTATATTTAATATTACTTATAAGAATTTTTTTTAAATTTTTAGATTTAGTATTATCTTGTATAAAATTATCACTATTATTAAAATTAAAAAATTTTTTTGTTTTTTCAGCTAATTTAATTTTTTTAATTTTTGCTTTTCTTATTAAAACTTTAAGATATTTTAAAACACGTCTATCTTTTTTTAATTTTAATTCTAAAGGTTGAGTAAATATTTTACTATTAAAATAAAAATATTTTAAATTAATTATATTAAATTCAACATTTTTTTTAAAAATGTTTTTTATTAAATTTATTAAAGCATGTAAATATGTATATTCAAATTTAGTTTTATTAATATAAAGCATTTGTTTATAATACATATAGAATCTTAATCTACTAAAACTTTTTTTCATAAATCTTGTATAGTAGATATTATTAGCTGTATTTACTTCAGTATTATATTTAGGTAATACATTTCTTAATAATATACTTTTTTGTTTTTGTTTAAACAATAATTTTAATCCTACTTTTTTTATTAATCTTAATTTTCTAGCAAATTTAGGTTTTTTAAATAATCTAATAAATCTTTTTTTTAATTTTAATAAGTAATTAAGTTTTTGTTTATTATAAACATATAATGTTATATTTACTTTATCATTAGAATGTTTAAATTCACCATCACTAATAAATATTCTATTTGTAGATATTTTTCTAAATCTACGACGTAATCTCTCTTTTCTTATTAAAGATTCTATTTGTAAATGATATAAATTAAAATATGCTTTAATTAATTTCATTACATATCTGCTTTTAATAGGTATTAAACTAATAGCATTTTTATTATATGTATATATACTACTATTTCAATTTCTTACTGCAGGTATTACATCTTTAACATTATATGATAGATTTGCATTATTTAATGCTTGTTTTTTATATGTATTGTTTAATTTTGATTTTATAATATTTAACATATTTATATATAAATATATATATATTAATATAATTAATAAATTAATTATATAATATTAAAGCTTGATAAATCAAGTCTAATACATTATTATTAATAATAATAATAATAATTATACAAATAATAAATTATTAATAAAGATGTTGGGCATTAAAAAAGGATTATTGTTAGCTATACTCACCTTTTAGTCGTTGAACGTCCTTATTTTAATTTATTTTAAAAATAAATACAAGCTAAAATAAGTTTCGCTTCAAATACACTTAATTAATATAAGTTGTCTTTGAAATTTACCCAATATATTACCAATATTTTTTTTAATATTGGAGGACTCACAGTTATAAATCCCTAGCGTAACTTTTTCTATAATCCAAGACCTTTCCTTAATGCATCTTGTGATCATATGCCCCGCTTACGCGACTGATAGACTTGTAGGTCAAACAGTAAAGCAAGATTTAGCCATTAAACTTTTAAAGTATAAATAAATATTATATTAATAAAGATAAATACTTTATTAATATAACAATAAACCTTTAATGATTTAAAGTTTAAAATACATCTATTCACCACATAGTTAAAATCTTACTTAAAATAAAAATAATTATTGAATTTAATCGAATAATAACTGTATAATTATAATAATAATTAGAACAAATTAAAATATTTGTATATAAATATACAAGTTTACAATATGAACTTTGGATATACCCAGGTACTTTTTGTGGGATCTGTGCCCCGCATAAACTGCCTTCCAATCATCAGAATGTATATATGGATTCGAATAAAGGTGTTTCATTATTATCTAAACAATTACCTTATACACTATAAATCATCCAAAACAAGTTTCTGTAATTAGTAACAGTAAAGCTGCATAGGGTCTTCTCGTCTATCTAGAGGTAAACAGTATCTGCACTGCTATTCCAATTTCACTGAGACAATCATCGAGACAGCTGTTGCATCGTTAAGTCATTCATGCAGGACCGCATTTAACGGCCAAGGTATTTCGCTACCTTAGGACCCTCATAGGTAAGGCCGCCATTAATCGGGGTGTCCTTCAAAACCTTAGTTAACAGTTAAGGAAGATCCGTTACCCAGCCGACATTGGGCAGACATCACACTCAATACTTTGATTTTTTATCTTTGCAGAGTGCTGTGTTTTTATTAAACAGTCGTACAACATTATTTCATGATTCCTCTTAACATTAATTTAATTTACCATACTTAATAATATGTTAAATTAATGTTAATGGCCCTCCTTATTCCAAAGGTACAGAGTCAATTTGCCGAGTTCCTTAATGATTGTTCTCTCAAACGCCTTTGTATACTCTACTTGCTTACTTGAGTTAGTTTCTAGGTACGGTTATTATTTATTTTTTTCTTTCTTATTTATTATAAGTAATAACACAAAACTTAGATAAATAAGTAATAAACTTTTCCAGAACCTTTATTACTTGTTAAAGGTTTTGGTATTATCATATAAAAATTTCTATACGTCATCAAAATTATCTTTTGATTAATTTTTTTAGACACCGATTTTTGATGAAACCATAAGCTTCAGGCGAGGCTAAAAGCCTTTTTCGTTACTCATGTCAGCATTCTCTCTTGGATTTTACCATTTATGGAACTTATATATATATAATTAATATATATATATATAAGATTTTAAATAATTTTAAGAAAAATATTCATATTTAGTATTATCCAATGTTCCGCTACCCCACATTAATGTGTACAAGGTTTCGGTATATTATTTAGATCCGTTAAATTTTCGGCGTTTCTTCCTAACTTATTAATCAGTGCTCTGTTACGAGGTCTTCAAAAAATGGCCGCTTCTAAGCCTATTTCCTGATTGTTTTTAAAAAAAACATCCTTAATTTCACTTAACAATAATTTTGGAACCTTAACTCTTGTTCTGGGCTGTTTCCCTTTAGACATACAACCTTATCGCACTATGTCCGATTATTTAACATTCATCTTTGCCCTTCCGAGTGCAAATACTCTCCGGTAAAGTCACTACAACCCCCCGATGTTGACAAATATATTACATATTGTCCGAGATCACAGTTCTGTACCTGCTAAGATGTTAATTAAATTACCTACTTACATAGGTTTCGCGGAAAACCAGCTATACTAGTCAGTTTTGTCTTTCACTAACTTACCACAGTTCATCGGATATCTTTACAACGATAACCCGTTCGGGCTTTTATAACCCTGACCATGGTAAGATCACTAGCCTTCGGGTCTAATTCTAGATACTTATTCATTTTTTCATAATTGGTTTATCTGAGTATCTATCTTCTTATATTTAACAACTAATATATATATATTAGATTAAAAAAGATGTTACTTGCATCTAAAATTAACTTGCTGACCCATTATGCAAAAGGTACACTCTTATTATTTATTTAAATTTTAACTTGAGCTGCTTTTAAAACTACTATTTCAAGGTATTTCCCTCACGGTACTGTTACTCTATCGCTTATATATTTTTTTTAGCCTTAGAGGAAGGTTCCCCTATTTTTCAACAGATTTTTTTCCGTTATACTTATATATACTATAAAGTATATAAATATAATAACTAAATATATAGTATTTTTCATACTATAGTTATTATTTTTAAGGCTTTTGCTATTCAGAAGACACCAAATAGCAATCTCGTTTGATTTTTTTTCCTAAAGTTACTGAGATATTTCAATTCACTTTGTCTTACTATTAGATTTCTCTATGATTTCTAGTTTATAAAATTTCCTAGATATTCTTATCTTGAAATATATAGCTAACCATCCATAATAGTTTCTTTATATACTTATCTTAAATTGAATTAAGACGTATAAGATACATATCTGCTATAATGAGGTATATTTATAATACCTAAGTAATTCAGGTTATTATGATTCGAACATAAACAATCTTCAACCCAAATGAAGCGACCAACCAACCGGACACTAACCTGTGTATGAAAAATAAAAATTTATTAGTATGACACTAACCTGTGTATGTAAAAATAAAAATTTATTAGTATATTTATTTATATTATACTAATATTTATGTTAATATAACATATTATTAGTAATTTATTTTTTTCAGAGAGTATATGATTCGAACATATGAAAGTTTAAATCTTTAGCTAGACTCAAGCTAGCCGCCTTAGACCACTCAGCCAACTCTCTTGTATGATTCTTCAGTGACTCGAACACTGAACATATCCTTATCAAGAATACACTTTACCGGTTAAGTTAAAGAACCTATATAATATTCAAGAGCACTTAGACTTGAACTAAGAAATATAAGGTTGAAGCTTACAGTTTTGCCTATTAAACTATGCTCTTATTATATGCTATACGGAAAAGAGATGAATCGAACATCTAAGTGTCAAAACACAATATTTAGCAAATATCTTACCCTACCAATAGCAACTTTTCCTTTAATTTATATATATACGAGTTAGACCGGTTTCGATCCGATATCTGTTTTCGTGACAAGAAAACTCTTTACCAATTAAGTTACTAACCCTACTTATATATATAGCTAGTCGAATTCGAATCGACACACTTTACTTGGAAGGTAAACAGTCTACCATTAACTTATAGCCATAGTATCTAATTTAATATTATAACTAGCTGAATTCGAATCAGCACATCTTATATGGTAAATAAGCAGTCTACCATTAACTTATAGTCATTACATATTAATTATTAAGACCTATGGGATTTGAACCCATATTATAATGATTAAAAGTCACATGTTTTACCATTAAACTAAAGTCTCTAATTAAGTTACTAATATCTTACGATTTATATAATATATCATATACATTTAGAAATTAATTATAAGTATTTAATCTAATAACCTCAATAGTATACAGAAATATATAAGAATAATCAAACAACATCAACAAAGTGTCAGTATAATATTCCTGCTTCATAACCAAGGTGATGGTGATCTGTTAAATGGTATGCAGCTAAACGTCATAATCCTACAGCTAAGAAAGCTGTACCAACCATAACGTGTATACCGTGGAAACCAGTACCAAAGTAGAAACATGAACCATAAACACTATCAGAAATAGTGAAAGAAGATACTGAATATTCAACACCTTGGAAGAAAGTAAATACTACAGCTAATATAATTGTAACAACTGTACCATATAAAGCACCTTTTCTATTACCTTGTATTAAAGAATGGTGAGCATATGTAATAGTTACACCAGAAGATAATAATAATATAGTATTTAATAAAGGTAATTCAAATGGATTAACAGCTTGTATACCTAAAGGAGGTCATTGAGCACCTAATTCAACACTAGGTGAAACAGCACTATGGAAAAATGCTCAGAATATAGCTAAAAAGAAGAAAACTTCAGATATAATAAATAAACCTACACCTAAGTTTAATCCTTTTTGTACAGCATTAGTATGATTACCTAAGTAAGTTCCTTCTGAAATAACATCTCTAAATCATAAACCCATTACATACATAACATTAAATACAGCTAAAGGAACTAAATATTGGAATCCTTGGAATCCATGCATAAATAAAACTGTAGTTGTAGTTAATATAAATAAAGATAGACTAGTAAATAATGGTCAAGGAGAAGGAGATACTAAATGAAAAGGGTGATTTTGAAAATTACTTTTTGATTTATATATCATATTTTAATTTAATAAATAATTGTTTAAGCTTTATAGAACTATTTTTGTTTTATTGTTATCATAATAGCACCTACCATACCTAATAATAAAATAATAGAAGTAACAATTAATCACATAGAATAACTAGTGTACATAATATTACCAATACTAGCTATATGTGTAGGTTCTATTAATGAATTATCTCAATTTTTACTACTAGCATAACCTATTTGTTGTTTTAAATCAACTATATTAAATAATTCATTATCTAATTGTACATTATATACATCAGAAAATGAATTTGATAAATAAGAAACAATACTATTTTCTGTAAAATTTGAAGGTAATACTTGTCCCATAATATAGTAAAAAATTATAACTGTTAATATAGCTAAAGGTAAATCATTATTAGTATCAGTAAATAATTCAGATACTCTAATATTAATTAACATTAAAATGAATAAAAATAAAATAGATACAGCACCTACATAAACTAATATATAAGCTAAACCTATAAAATTATATCCTATTAATATTAATAAACCTGCAACATTAACAAATAAACCTATTAAAAATAAAACAGATACTACAGGATTTCTACTAACTATAGTTAGTAAACCTAATAAAGTAGATACTAAATAAATAGTATCAACAAATTCTATTCTAAATCCATTAGTTATAGAATCATTTAATAAAAATATATTGTTCATAAATAATAATAATATATCTATTAACATAATATACAAATAAAAATAAATGGCTAGATAGTATTAGATTAAGTTTTTATCTAATTAGGGAGAAAAGGAATCGAACCTTCGTTAGCCTATAGCTATTGAGTTTACAGCTCAACCCGTGAACCAACGTACGGACCCTCCCTTTTAAATCCAGCTATCTAGATTTTTTTTATTAATTAAGATTATATATATATATTTTATCTATCATTGGATTTGAACCAATTTATATTATACCTAATTTAGATTATATAATATATATATATATTAATTTTTGTTCTACTTTATACTCCCCGTGCAATTTCCATTACACGAACCATATTTCGACTTAACACCAATCAAAGTTTTGCATACGAAAATTATCCTGCATATTCATATATCTTAATTATATATAATTTTACACAGAAAAAATCAAACTTACTGCATCTTCTTTTTTCAGCGCCTGACGAGTGGTTAGTACCTAACTAAGATAAAATTCACCGTGACGTTGGTGATGCACGATTACTAGTAATTCCTTTTTCATTTAGTCGAGTTACAGACTAAAATTCATATTTAAGTTTCCTTTTTTAGGGATAGGTTCCATTTATTAAATTTCGCATCCCGTTGTTAAGGCGAATGTGGCACGTCTATAGCCCACAGCATTTAGGCCATAATGACTTGTCTTAATCCCTTTTATCTGATCCGATATAATGGCGAACCACTTTATATAAATAAATAAAGTGAGGGTTTTCGTTAATTAAAGGAATTAACCAGATCTCACGACATTAACTAAAGACAGCCATGCAGCGCTTGTAACATAGTATTACGGTATTTCCGAAGCTACTATGATATGCAAGCTGTGGTAAGGTTTTTCGCGGATTATCGAATTAAATAACATACTTCACTACTGGTTTTAGAAACGGTCTAATGATTTCAGTTTATATGTTGCCATAGTACTCTTGAGGTGGAATGCTTACACTTTCGTTTATACATTAAATATTAATCTAATATATGACATTCATCATTGTCTGCTTGGACTAGTAGGGTATCTAATCCTATTTGCTACCCAAGCCTTCGTCTCTCAACGTCAGTTATTACATAGAAGGTCGCCTTCGCCGTTGACAGTCCTCCTGGTATTAACAAATTTTATCTCTACTCCAGGAATTCATCCTTCTCTCATATAACTCTAGTAAAAAAGTACTCGTTTAGAGTTTAATTTACCGTCTACTTACCCTTTAAACCCAATAAAGATAACTAACACTAGCCTCCTACGTATTACCGCGACTGCTGGCACGTAGTTTGGCCAAGACTTATAAATAGATTATGTCATTATATACAATCTATTTAGAATTTTATGCGAATTAATCGCTATTGTATTTATACAAATACACTTACATTCTTCCAAGTTACTGGTTCAGCCTTTCGGCCATTGACCAATATTCCTCACTGCTGTACATAAAAGCATTGGGTTTTTTTCAGACCCAATGTGGTCGATCAACTTTCCAGTTACGACTACGGTTTATTGCTAGAAAAGTCATTACCTTTCCTACTACACACCGAGATAAAAATTTTCATCTTAAAGCGGAATTTCGTATATAAACTAGCAAATATTATATACTAAACCTTTGGTTATAAGGGATTTTTTCCCTTACTTTAAGGTAGCCAATTTATCTTTTACTCACCTGTACACCACTACTACTTAGTTTAATTTATATATTAAACTAATTAGTCGTTCGATTAGCATGTGTCAAGTACTTGGACAGTGTTCAGTTAGAGCCATCATCAAACTCTTTATTTTTATTTTTATGATATACGTATTATATATCTATATTGAGGTATATTAAAAATTATTTTGTAATTTTTGCAATTTAAGATATAATTAAGCCAGTTTCTGTTTTAATTTATATAATTCTAAATAAAAACTTAACATAGGATACTTGTTCGCTATTATATTATTATTATTATTAAATATTTTATTTTAATATTAGTTTCTGTTAATATCCTTATATTTTTATAATTATTGAATTGTTATATTCAAATGTATATGCCTAATAAGTATTGGACTTTCCTATTTACATAAAATGTCTATATCTTAACATTATTTATATATAAATATATTTATAAACTGTTATTTAATAAATATATTTATAAGTTATTATTTAATTTTTATATTAATGTAGGTCTAAACCATCTTTAATATATGAACAAGCTAAAACTACAAAAACTTGAGCTTGGATAAAAGCTATAGCTAATTCTAAACCAGAGAATGCAATAATAAAAGCTAAAGGTATTAAACCTAAGAAGAAGAATAAGATACCACTTGTCATAATATTATAAGTGAATCCACTTAAAATACTTAAAAGCATGTGACCACTTAATATGTTAGCAGCTAATCTTAAACCTAATGATACATTTCTAGATAAGTATGAAATAAATTCAATTAAAACTAATAAAGGTAATAAAGCTAAAGGACAACCTGAAGGTACAAATAATGAGAAGAATTTTAACCCATGTCTTTGGAAACCTAATATTGTTGCACCTAAAACAACAGTAAAACTAATAGAGAATGTTAATATAAAGTGAGATGTTGATGCAAAACTATATGGTACTAATCCAATTAAATTATTCACTAATATAAATATGAATAATACATACATTAATGGAAAGAACATTTGTCCTTTATTAGGATTAATTTGGTTTACTACTATACCATGTACTGTAGCATATATACTTTCTTGACTTATTGATCAATTATTAGGTATTATTTTGTTATTGTTAGTTGATAATAAGCTATATGTTAATATTAAGAAAATACTTATTGTTAAGTATAAACCTATGTTAGTTAATGATAAATGTAAATTACCTAATAGGTTAGCATTTAAAGAAAATAGATCTCTTACTTCAAATTGATCTAGGGGACTTAATATATAATTTAAGTGACGCATTTTTTTTTTTTTGTTTTCGGTATATTAATTTAAAGCCATATATTACAGGTATAATAAGTATTATTATAATTTAATCTTTAATTATAGTTATTAATTATAATTTATTTATGTAAATACGTGAAATAAAAGTACGTACAAAGCTAGGTAATATAAATTTAGTAAAAGTGTATATTAATACTGTTAATATTACAAAAGTAAATATAACTTGATTTACAAAAAAGAATGGTACTAATTGTGGCATATATTTGTTTTATAATTGTTAAAAATAATAGATATTTACTTAAACCTTGTCGCAACTAGATAAGATTAAAAAAATTTTTTTTTGCTATCTAAGCTAAAAAAAATTAATCTAACATTATATTATAAAGAAATTAATTTAGTTATAAAACTAAAATTTAAGAATAAAAAAAAATTCTTACCCAAGGGTCGAACTTGGATCAAAATATTAGAAGTATTCTGCTCTGCCATTGAGCTAGTAAGAAGATAAATATATATATAATTACATATTAAAGCATAACATTAATAATAAAAAAAAAATAATTAATATAAATAACTAAATTAATTAATATTATAGATTAAAGAAGAAACTGAGTAATGTAAACCATCTAATATAGGAGCAGGATATATACCAAATAATACTGTAAATATTACAAATACTAATAATAAAATAAATTCTCTTCTAGTAACATCACCAATATTTTCTACAAAATATACAGAATAAGAACCACCAAAAGCTATTCTATTATACATAAATATAGTATAAGCTGCAGATAATACAATAGAAGTACTAGCTAATAAACCTAATATAGGCATTCTTTCAAATGCACCATATAATGACATAAATTCACCTAAAGCATTTAATGTTAAAGGTGTACCACTATTACCTAAAGATAAAATAAAGAATAATATAGAGAAAATAGGCATAATTTGAGCCATACCTCTATAATATGTAATTAATCTAGTAGAAGATCTATCATATAAAATACCTCCAGCACAAATAAATAATCCTGGTGATACAAAACCGTGAGCTAAACCTAAAACTATAGCACCTTCTATACCCTGTATAGTATTACTAAATGCACCTATTAAATAAACAGCTGCGTGAGATACAGAAGAGTAAGCAATTAATTCTTTAATATCAATTGTTCTTAATGTACTAAAACTAGCATAAATAATAGTTATTACACCTATAACATATATAATATATGTAAAGTTTAAAGAAGCTTTAGGTAATAAAGGTAACATTAATCTAAATATACCATATAAACTTAATTTTAAAACTATACCAGCTAATATAATACTACCAGATAAAGGTGATTCAACGTGAGCTTTTAATAATCAAGTATTTAAAAAAATAACTGGTGTTTTTACAGCAAAAGCTATAAATATACCATAAAATAAAAATAATTGTGTAGTATAACTAAAGTTTGCTTTAGATAATGCATCAAAATCAGTTGTACCCATAATAGATGACATAACTATAATAGATAATAACATAAATAATGAACCTAATAAAGTGTATAAAAATAAATAGAAACTAGCTCTTACTTTATTACTTGAACCAAATAATCCTATTAATAAGAATAAAGGAGGTAATATACTTTCAAAAAAAATATAAAATAATAATACATCTAAAACTAAGAATACAGCTAATAATAATGTTTCTAATAATAACATTATTACTACAAATGATAAAACATTTTGAGATTGTATTGAATTTCAATTAGATAATATAGCTATTGGCATTATTATAGTTGTTAATAATATAAAATATATAGATAAACCATCTACACCTAAATATATATCAAAATAACTTACTTGATAGTGTTCCTCAATAAATTGAAATTGTTTACTACTAAAATCAAAAAGTATAAACATTATCAAGGATACTATTAAATTTATTATAGATGTAGTTAAGGCTATAGATTTTATCTTTATATTATTAACTATACTTAAACCATAATTAGTCTCTATTGTTACAAGACTTATACCTATTAATGGTATTAATAATAATAATAAGGACATATTTAATTTATATATATATATATTAACTTTCGGATATAAAACATTAATTTGTTTTGTTACACTCTATATATGCTATAAAGCTTAAGTATATAATAATTTATACTATATATATATAGTTATATATTTTATAACATTAACATATATATATTTATATACTATAATGAGGTATATTACGTAAAAAAGTAATACTTTTTATTGTAAAACATACACAAACTTAAAGCACTAAATTTGTAGGTAAAGCATCTAAACCAAATACAATACAAGGTATACAAATAACATATCCTACAATTAAAGGTAATAAAACAGTTCAACAAACAGACATTAATTGATCAAAACGTATTCTAGGGAAAGAAGCTCTAGTTCAAATAAACACAAATATTAATAAAGCAGTTTTAAAAGCTAAATTTAAAGGAGATGAAGAAAAATTAACAAATATATCTTGTAATATAGAACTATTAATACCAAATAAAGTATATAAAATATCTATTAACAATTCAACAGGTATAATACATAAATAACCACCAAAAAATAAAATACTATTTAAAACACAAATTAATATAATACTAGCATATTCAGCTAAGAAAAAGAATACAAATACACTAGCTGAATGTTCAGTCATAAAACCACTAACAAGTTCAGACTCAGCTTCAGCTAAATCAAAAGGAGCTCTATTAGTTTCAGCTATAGAACCTATAAAGAATATAATAAATAAAGGAAATAGTGGTAATAAGAAATCAACTATTCTTTGTGATTCTACAATTGTAATAATATTTAAATTACCAGTTAATAAAATAATTACTATAATTACAGAACTTAATATCAACTCATAACTAATTAATTGAGCTGTACTTCTTAATGAACCTAAAAAGGCATATTTAGAATTAGCAGATCAACCTGCTAATAATATACCATAAGTAGCTAAAGATGAAACAGCTAACATATAAAGCATACCTAAACTATAATCAGATACAAAAATTCCACTATCAAATGGTACAACTAAATAACCTAATAAAGAAAAGATTAAAGTTATCATAGGTCCTATAAAAAATAATATAATATTAGCTTGTGTTGGTGCTACATATTCTTTTAATAATAATTTTAAAGCATCAGCAAATGCTTGTAATAAACCATAATAACCTACCGCATTAGGACCTAATCTTCTTTGCATAGAAGCCATAGTTTTACGTTCGGCTATAGTTACAAATGCAACTGAAAGTAAAGCAGGTACTATTAATAATAACCCTTCAATAACTGAAATTATACTTATCATATATTTAATTATTATTTATTATAACAATATATATAAATAGAATATATAAATATATATATATAAATATTGTATATTACAACCTGCAGTTTTTATTCTATATATATAAATATTTAATAAATATACTCAATATACTATATTGAAACTTTTTATATAAGGAGTCCGGGGAACTCGAATCCCTTTATTTCGATTTGCAATCGAAACGCAGAACCCTCTGCTCAAACTCCTATAAATATAATATATATATAATAATATAACTATATAAAATAATTAATTATTATTATTATTTTTTTATAGCTAACTCTACTAAACTATTTTCTATAATACTTACTACAGGCACTATAATAAAGAAGTGAGCAAAGTATAACACAGTAGATATTTGTCCAAATTCAATAAATGGTGTTTCAACGTGTTTTGCACCTATTTGCATTAATACTAAGAAATTAGCTACAAATACAAAGAATGCTATTTTACTTAAAGGTCTAAATTGTACTCCTCTTAATTTAGATAAATCTGTTAAAGGCATAGCCATTAAAGCTAAAATAGCTGCAAACATAGCTATAACACCTAATAATTTATTAGGTATAGATCTTAATATAGCATAGAATGGTAATAAATATCATTCTGGTACAATAGCAGGTGGAGTTTGCATTGGATTAGCTACAACATAATTTTCACTATCTCCTAATGCATTAGGCATAAAGAAAACAAATATAGATAATACTATAAAGAATAAGAAGATAGTAATTAAATCTTTAAATAAAAAGTAAGGTGCAAAAGGTAATCTATCATAATTAGCTGATATACCTAAAGGATTACCTGATCCTACTACATCGTGGTAAGCTATTAAGTGCATTAATACTAATGCAGCTAATACGAATGGTAATAAGAAGTGTAATGCAAAGAATCTGTTTAATGTTGCATTATTAACTGAAAAACCACCTCATATAAATTCAACTATATCTTGACCTATTCAAGGTATAGCACTCATTAAATTAGTAATAACTGTTGCTGCTCATAAACTCATTTGACCATATGGTAAAACATAACCTAAGAAAGCTGTAGCCATCATTATTATAAGTATTACTGTACCAATAGCTCATGTTAATGTTCTAGGTGATTTATATGATCCATAGTATAAACCTCTACCTATGTGTAGATAAACTAAAAAGAAGAAAGCTGAAGCTGTATTAGCGTGTAAATAACGTACTAATCATCCATTGTTTACATCTCTCATAATATGTTCTACTGAATTAAATGCTTCAGCTACACTAGGTGTATAGTGCATAGCTAATGTAACTCCTGTTACAATTTGTATTATTAAACATAATGCTAATAATGAACCAAAATTTCATAAATAACTTATATTGGCTGGTGTTGGTGCGTCGATTAAGTAAGAATTAACTAATCTTAATAAAGGATGACTTTTAATAATTCTCATTTTTTTATTATATATATATATTTTATTACATTTTATATTTATTTTTTTTTTTGATATATTTTAATATAAATAAATAAATATAAATATAAATTTATATTTATTTATATTAAGTTGTTCTATTTAATATTTTTTTTTTTTTTTTTTTTTTTTTTTTTTGTATTTATACGTGCTAGCTAAAAGAGAAATTTGAATTCTCATTATAAATTATAGTTTATACTATTAAACTATTTTAGCTATTAATTTATATTTGTTAAACAAAATATAAATTACTTTAAATTATGATATAATTATTATTATTATTATTATTTAATTAAATACCAGTAGGTACAAATAATACTATAGCTAATATATTAGACATATGTAATCATTCATTAGGCATAAGCATAAATAAAAGTATAATTAAAGTTAATATAGAAATAGTTATAGATAAAGAACTAGATAAAGAAAATTTAGAATCAAAATAAATTTTATTAACTACTTTATTATTTTGTAAAATAAGAGCAGGTATTCTTAAATCTTTTAAACTACTAAAATAAGTATAAGAATGTCCATCAAAAAACATTGTTTTTACGATAAATAAGTAATAAACAGCACTTATAACACTAGTTAAAACTCCAATAAGAGTTAAGAATATAAATCCTTCTTGTAAAGCTGCAGAAAATACCATCTGTTTAGCAAAAAATCCCATTAAAGGTGGAATACCAGCAAAAGAGAATAAAGTAATAGTTAAACTTAAAGCTAAAAAACTATTAATATGGAAATAACCTTTAAGTTGACTTATAAGTTGTATAGGTGAATTATTTTTATCAATTAAATAATTATGATTAATATTTTTATCATTATAGGCATATAAACTATAACCTATAGCAACTAATAAAATAAATGCATTTAAATTAGATAAACTATATTGAATTAAATAGAAAATAAATGATTGTATAGATTCAACACTATTAATAGTTAAAGCTAATAACATAAAACCTAAATGAGAAATTGTACTATAAGCAAATAATCTTTTAATTCTAAATTGAGTTAAACCTAATACAGTACCAATAATTAAAGATAATAAACTACTAATTAATAAACTAGTAGTTCAAGTATATTGAGTAGTAATAAAAATACTATTAGTATAATGAACTAAATGTAATAATAAAGTTAATATAGATATTTTAGCAATAATAGCTACAAAAGTAGTAACTATTGTAGGAATACCGTCATAAACATCAGGAGATCAAAAATGAAATGGAGCAGCTGATATTTTAAATAATAATCCTACAGTAATTAATAATAAGCAATAAGGTATGTATGTAGTAATTTGTTGTTCATTTAATACACCAGCTAAATTATTAATTACATAAAAACTATCTAAATAAGTTACACCTAAATTAGCATATATTAAAGCTATACCTAATAATATAAAACAAGATGATAATCCACCTAATAAGAAATAAGTTAAACCAGCAGATGTAGCAGATTCAGAATTTCTATACATAGTACATAATAAATATAAACCATAACTTTGTAATTCTATAGATAAAAAAATAGATACAAAATCACTACTTGATATTAATAATATACTACCTGTTACAATAAATAATAACATTAATGTATATTCTAATATAGAATATTGTTCTCCTTTTTTTAAAATTATATTAGATACAGCAATATTTTTTACAAATTGTAATTTTGTAAATAATAATTTAGATAAACTTAAATACTGACTAGATATAAGTTTTCTAGGATAAAACCCAGTTATGTTCAATATTAATAATGTAATAATAAATATTAATATATGAAATGTTTGTGTTATAGGTGATGTATAAAATAAACCACCAAATAACCCTATACCATTATCTAAATATGTTATAAATAAATTATTATAAGATAAATAAATACAATAAAATAATATTATAATACCTACTCTTGAATAAAGAATAGCTGTGTCACGTCTAAAAGACAATGCATTAGATAATATTAAACAAAAAATTGAAGATAAAAGCATATTTGAAAATAAAATAAATATATATTAAAATTAAACAAAATAAATAATAAAAAAAAAATATATATAATAATTATTAGTTAAATATATAAAGTAAATTATTATTTAGTTGAAGATAAGTTATTATTTAATAAAGCAAATAAAGTAAATATTACTAATATAAATAAATTATTATCATTATATGAGAAATATACTAATGTAATATAGAACATTAAACCAATTAAAATATATAAAGCATAAGTAGTAATTACACCAGTACTTAATCTACCTAAGCTATTACTTAAAGACACTAATCCTTTTTCTAAACCATAAGGTCCTAAGAATTCTACTGAACCTTTATCAAGACTCTTAGTAGTTTGACCACCTAATTTAAGAACACCTTCTACAATATATTTATTATAGAATAATTCAATATAGAATCTTTGATTAAAGAAACTAAATATATTATAACCAAATCTAGAGAATTTAAAATTAATAAGTAATTTAGGTACAAATTCAGAAAATAATACAGAAATAATACTTAAAGAAACAGTAAATACAAAAGGTAATAATTTAAATAAAGTAGGTACAGCAAATTCAGTATCTAACATAATTTCATGACTAGGGTGAATAAATAAACTATTATCAATAAAGAAACCAGTACCTAAACCAATAAATATATCTTTAGTTAAATAACCAAAGAATATAGAGAAAATAGATAATATAATTAAAGGTAAAGTTAAAAATAAATCACCTTCATGTGCATGTTTATAACTAGATAATGGTCCATTAGGGTTAGCTAAGAAAGTTAAATATAAAACTTTAGCAGAATAAAGAGTAGTAAACATAGCACCTATAGTAGCTACAAAGTAAACAATAGTACCTGATAAGTAGAATTGACCATAAGAAGATTCTAATATAAAATCTTTAGAGTAGAATCCAGTCATAAAAGGTACAGCTACTAAACTTAATGAAGCTATTAACATAACAGAATAAGTTAAAGGTAAGAATTCTCTTAAACCACCATATTTTCTAAAATCTTGGTTATCAGCTACTGCGTGAATAACTGAACCAGCACCTAAGAATAATAATGCTTTATAAAAAGCGTGATTAACTAAATGGAATAAAGCTAAATTATAACTAGATAAACCTATAGCTATAACCATCATACCTAATTGACTCATAGTAGAATAGGCAATAACTTTTTTAATATCTTGTTGGAATAATCCTATTAAAGAACTAAATACTGTAGTTATAGCACCTAATCATAAACATAATACTAATACAGTTGAACTATATTCAATTAATGGTGAAGATCTCATTAATAAATAAACTCCAGCTGTAACCATAGTAGCTGCGTGTATTAAAGCAGATACAGGTGTAGGCCCTTCCATAGCTTGAGGTAATCAAATATGTAAACCAACTTGAGAACTTTTAGCTGTAGCACCTATTAATAAACATATACCTATAATTGTAATAATAGTTTCATTATAATAAGGAGCTAATGCAAATACTGTACTATAATCTATATTACCAAAAGATCATAATATTACAAACATACCTACAGTTAATAAACAATCACCAACTCTATTAGTTAATAAAGCAGATAAAGAACTTTGATTTGCGGCTATTCTAGTAAATCAGAAATTTACTAATAGATATGAACAAACACCTACACCTTCTCAACCTACAAACATAACTAAATAATTATTTCCTGTTACTAATATAATCATCATAAAAGTGAATAAACTTAAGTAACTAAAAAATCTTTGATTGTGTGGATCATGACTCATATAACTTATTGAATATATGTGTACTAAACTAGATACTATTAATACTGGTATTAACATTGATACTGTTAAAGAATCAAATCTAAAGTTTCATAATACATATAATGATTCTACATCTACTCATCTTGCTACATTTATTGTTACTGGTATATTATTAAAACCTACTTCAAAAAAAGCTATTATAGCTAATAATGTAGTAGTTATTACTGAACCACATGTTATTATATGTGATCCTGTTATACCTACTTTTCTTCCAAAGAAACCTGATACTATTGAACCTAATAATGGTAAAATTATCAATGTTAAATACATTTATTTATATTGTATTGTTATACTACCTCTTAATCTATAATATGCTACTAATATACCTAAACCTATTGCAGATTCAGCTCCTGCTATTGTTAAAATATATACAGCAAAAGTTTGACCTAATATATCATCAAAACTTAGTGAACTGATTAATATTAAAAATGTTACAGATAATAACATTATTTCTATAGAAATTAACATTAATATTATATTTTTTCTATTTAATACAAATCCTAATATCCCTATAAGAAATAAAAATATTGAAAAATTCATTTTATCTATATAAAATTTTATTTGATTTATCTATACTACATATATATTTATATTTATATTTATATTTATTTTTATTAATATAAAAATATGTATAAGACTCGAACTTATATTGACGTGTCCGTAGCACGTAATTCTACCATTGAATTAACATATTTATAAGATTTTACTTATGAAAATTATAAATATACATCTATTATAAATATTATTCAGTAGTTTTTCGCTTACTGTAAGAATTTAATATATTTGTTTTCATACTCTCTATGTCTTTAATTTTTGTTTTCATACTCTCTATGTCTTTATTTTTTGTTTTCATACTCTCTATGTCTTTATTTTTTGTTTTATTTAGACCTATTATTCTATTATCATTAATATTTTTAAAATCAATTAATTTTTGATTTATAGTAGATTTCCTAAATTCATTAAAATGTGTATTATAATAATCATTATAAAAAAATTTTGGTTTCATTTGATACCCTAATTTTAAATGATCTTTATGTAATAATATATTTTTATGTATAGTAGCTACATCATATATTTTTGATGTACTACCATCAGGATATGTTATTCTACAATAATATTCAGATGGGTCTTTAGATGTTGAGTTATATGTATAACGTATACCACATTCATCATAAACACGGATATGACCAGATTTACCAAATTCTTTAGGTTTATTTAAATGTAAACTTTCAGGGTAAACAACTAATTTTGTATCTGAATTATAATAAGACAACTTATTATCACCTTTTATTCTAGTAGTAAATTTAGGGGAATGTCTTCTATTACGACCTTTATTTTCAACAGTATTATTTTCAACAATATTTTCATGATTTGTATCTAATTTTGGTCTTATATGTCTTCACTTACTATTAGCATTATTTTCAGCAGTATCATATTGAGCAGTATTTTCACGATTTGTATCTAATCTTGGCTTTATAGGTCTTAACTTCCTATTAAATACATTTTCAGCTACTGTAGCATTATTTATAGGTTGTTTACCTTTATTATTAGATACATTTTCAGCTATTGTAATATTATTTACAGGTTGTTTACCTTTATTATTAGATACATTTTCAGCTACTGTAATATTATTTACAGGTTGTTTACCTTTATTTTTAGATACATTTTCAGCTACTGTAACATTATTTACAGGTTGTTTACCTTTTAATCTCTTACTATTAGGTTCATCAATTAATGGTTCACCTACCCGTTTAATAATTTGTCTATCTCCAAGAGAATTCTTTGGATTTAAACTAAATGTAGTTTCAACGGGTAAATTACGAAATTGTTGTACCCGTTTATTATAATTTTCATGTTCAAAACTAGATTCATAACCTGAAAATGGATTAGGATTAGATGGACCACTATTGCTAGGACCAATACCAAATGGATTATTACCACCAGGATTAAAATTAATAAAAACAAAGTTATTATCTTGTATTAAATCTAAATAATTAATATAGAATAAATATAAAAAATTTAATCCCAAGTCAGGATTTCTAGTAAATAAAAAACATAAAAAAAATATAATTTTACATATAGTTTTTATACGTTCTATTCCAATATATAGATCATCATGTAAATAATAACATAAATCTATAATATATTTATTTAATAACCTAGGTAAATATCTATAACAATATTTAAATGTTTTTATATACTTATTAATCTTTTTAATAATATTTTCTAGCGTAATAACCTTTATAGTTTTTATCAACTTTTTGTTAATCTTAATCCACTTTTTGTTAATCTTAATCTTGATCTTGTTTTTCAGATTTAATTTAACCTTCCATTTGTTCTCTCAATCACAATAGAAAGTCTCTTATAGATACTGCTTGTATAGCAATAGGCATAGAACTGTGTAAAATACCACATATTTCTGAACATTGTCCAAAGAAAGTTCCAGGACGATTTATGTAAACAGAAGCTTGGTTTAATCTACCAGGGTAAGCATCTGCTTTAATACCTAAAGAAGGGCAAGCATAAGAATGTATAACATCAGCTGCTGATATTACAATTCTAGTATGAGTTAATTCAGGAATAATTACTCTATTATCAACTTCTAACATTCTAAATTGACCTTGTTCTAAATCACTTTCAGGTACTATATATGAATCAAATTCTATAAATTCATCATCTTCATTAGTAAAATCTGGATATTGGTAACTTCAATATCATTGATGACCTTCTGCATATACAACTAATGATGGATCCATTATTTCATCCATTAAATATAATAATTTAAATGATGGAAATGCTATTAATATTAATATAAATGCAGGTGATATTGTTCAAATTAATTCTATTAAAGTACCATGATTCATATATTTATGAGCTATTGGTGATTTATTAGCTAAAAAATTTCTTATTATTGTAATCATCATTCATGTTACAGTAAACATTATAATAGCTAAGTAAAACATAATATTATTATGTAATTCTTCAATACCTTCCATTTGAGGTGATGCTGAATCTTGGAAAAATAAACCCCATGGTTGTGGAGCATCTAATTGTAATTTGTTTATAAAATTTTGTAAAAACATATTTTTTTTATTTTTTTTTTATTTTTATTTATGCTATCTTTCTAATTTATGTATACTATATGTACTCTTATATATACATATAAATAGGGTTATATATTCTGGGTCCCCGCCCCTTAAGGGTTGTAAATAAAAATTATATAAAATATTTCTATTTTATATAATTTTAACTATATATTAGACTATACCCATTTCACGTTTTTACGTTAAAATTAAATATTTGTCTACTTTCAATTTTTAATGCATTTTTTCCTAATTCAAATACAAATCCTAAAGTTAATATTACAAAAAATACTAACATTATTAATAAACCGTATATACCATTAGTGTAAGCACTTACAACATAAGGATATATTAATAAAATCTCTAAGTCAAATAATAAAAATAATAATGCAAATATAAAAAAAGATATACTAAATTGTGTTCTATTTTGACCTAAAAAAGAATGAAAACCACATTCAAAGGCACTATCTTTTTCTTGATATGGATTATGAGGTGATAGTATTAAATTAACTAATAATAATATTATACCTAATACGGGTATTAAAAATAAAAAAAAAGTTGTTGTTGTCATATTTAAAGGTTAAAATTATATATATAAGTTTTATATTTAGATTTACTTAATTAAGTTTAAGTTAAAATTAATAATAAAACTTAATAACTTACTAAATTAAATATATATATATAAGATTTACATTAAAAATTCAAACAGACCCATTTTTTATTTTTATTAAGCAACATATAATAATAAAAAAGCCATCATTAAAGCAAATAATCCTGTAGCTTCGGCAAAAGCAAAACCTAATATAGCATATGAGAATAATTGTCCTCTTAATGAGGGATTTCTTGCTACACCTAAAATTAATGCTCCGAAAACTATACCTATACCTACACCTGCTCCTATTAATCCTGTTGTAGCCATACCTGTACCTATAATTTTTGCTGCTTGTAACATAGTTTATTGTTAAATTATATATGCTTATAGCTATTTACAGTTAAACAAATTAGTTATTACATTATTTTATTAGTTTATTGCACTAACACCATGTAATAAATAATTACCTGCATCAAATATAGTAATACTATCTAGATCCAGATCTATACCTAGAGCTTGGTGGTCTATACGTAATCTTTGTAAAATTAATTCACACTCTAATACTATATCATAGTTTTTTATTAAAGTTGTTAAATGATCTAAAGCATCTGTTAAATGCTGGTATAATAAACGATACTCAATATCATCGTTTCCCCTGAAATTAATCAAGTAATTCCCGTGTTCATGAGCATCTTCTCTATGTAACCCTGAATATGTTGCTTCATGTATTTTTAGACCACTATTTAAAGGCTCTAGACCTACACCCCGTTCTGGTACACCAGAATCTGTACTAATACTCACAGACAATACATCATCATCTGAAGCTGCACTATGATGTACAGTTAACTCAGGATTATCTGCTAATTCTGGGTTATCTAGATGCATAAATACATTACCTTCTACTGGTTGTATATTACTTTCTATATTAATATGAGGATTAGAAGGTAATGGTGTGTCATTTTCCGGTTGTGGGTTAGCAGGTTGTGTGTCATTTTCTTGGTCTAATCTATTATAAAATTCACTTACAGTTTGTTCATTGTTTGAATCTGAGTCAGATATAGTAGATCCATTATCACTATAATCATTCTCACTAAATTCTAATGAATCTGCATGAGATGAATCTGTATCAGATGATCCATCTTGACTTAGAGATGGTAATTGAGGTTCTAACATACCACTGTTAATTTCTCTACCTAAGTCAGGTAAAGTATTACCATTATCAGAATCACTATCAAAAGTGCTATCGTAATCGATATCTCTTGATAATGCACTAGGTATACGTTCACGAACACGAACTAAATAGTTATTTTTATACATATTTATAAATTCTTGACCTTGCGCTAATTCATCTATCATTAAGTATGCTTGAGCTTTATTTTCCAAATATAAATTTTGAATATAATTAACTCACTCTGAATGATCTGCAGTTATCCCTACTCTTTCTTCTCTATATTCTTTAGGTATTATTGATTCTTCCGGTATTAATTTATCAATATTAGATGTATCCATTACTCAATTTTCAGTTGATTCTGTATTAGGTATTGTAGAATCATTACTAGATTCTTCATTATCTTTACGCACCATTATTTTTTTATTTAAATGACCACTATCTATAGATTCTGTTGAAGAGTCGTCATTTAATTGTCTTTTTTTACCTTTATATTTTATATTTGGTATGGTATCATTATTGTTAGTATTTGTAATATTTGTGTTTGTATTTGTATTTGAATGTTGTAATAATTGTTCTGTTGTTAATCCCTGACTATTATCAGACATTGGTAAATTTAAATTAGGAGATAAACCTCCTGTTTCGTTTAATAATGAATCATTTTTTGCACTAGATGATGATCTAGGCATCGCTACGTTTGAGCTTGTAATGGTTCTTATAGTAGTATTATTTATAGATTTCCCTACGGAAACTCTTGTATTTAAAAAGAAGAAAGTCATGTTTTTTTTTGTTATAAATATATATTTTTAATGTAGCCATATATTACAGGTATATCAACCATATCAACCTAATATTTTAAGTATTATTGCACCTCTTTCCCGTTGTCGCCAGGCAGGGTGGAATATTTCACCCATGTTGCTAGATAGGGTCGAAATATTCTCCCTGTCCTTTGTCGCCAGGTAAGATCGTGTGAAGCCCCCCCACCCCACTCTAAAATTAGGTTGATATGGTTACTGGGGGGGGGTGTATTTAAGGCCTACCGGCCTAGCCTTTAAGATGAATCGAACATCTATCAGAATATTAACAGTATTCCGCTCTACCATTGAGCTATAAAGGCGATAAATAATCACAATATATTGATTCTATTTGGTTATACCTAATGTTATACCTAATGTTATAACTTCTGCTTAATTACAGAGTATTTTGTGATGTATCTACATTCTTGTAGATACATATTAATTAATTAGAACCTATCATATTGATTGTTTCTATTTTTATTTTTAACATTTTTCTATCATATATATTGTGATTATTTGGACTTTTAAACTCAAACTAACCCTAATTAATTGAGGCTGTTCATGAATATATTATTAACTTTACTTATCACCATTATTAAGATAAAGTTACATCTCATTTTACTGAGATATATTGTGTAATCATATTTCTTACATGTTAAAATTATTATATATTTAATTTTATTACCTCAATAGTATACAGAAATATATACGAATAATCAAACAACATCAAAAAAGTGTTAGTATAGTTTTCTGCTAATATGATTATTATAAGATATAAGTTAATAATATATTAATGTATATCTCAAACTAGGTATACCTGATCCTGAAAAATCTAATATTTGTATTATATTATATTGTATAATTTATTATACTTATAATTTTAAAATTTTTTTCCTCTATATTAATTTCCAGATCTGATTATGAATATTTCAAAATTTAATATTTGTATCTTATTAGATTTTCCAGATCTGAATATGAAAATTTCAAGACTTTACTATGCTTCATATGTATTCACCTAATCTAGATTTCTATTTGTTTAAATGTCCCTACGATACTCGTCATATCGGATTACATATTTTATTTTTATTTTTATCAAATCACATATTTTATTTTTATTTTTATTTTTATCAAATTACATATTTTATTTTTAATTTTATTTTTATCAAATTACATATTTTATTTTTTAGAGGTATGTTTAAGACTCATATCTCTTATATTGAGGTATATTAAAAATTGTTACGTAACAATACTTTTTTTTTTAACTAATTTTATTTTTACCTAAGTATCTAAAATCGAAACCATATATTAAATTGAAACTATTCTATTATAGTTATTCTATTATAGTTGAATGACCAACTTACCTTTACGCTCTTACCCCCATTCCTTATCGGGGGTAAATAAGGGTGAATATTACTTTATTTTATACTCTATTATGCTTTAATTCTTTTTTGCACTTGAGTCTTTTTATTTTATACTCTATTTTGCTTTAGATAACTATTTTATACTTGTACTATGATGTACTTATACATTAAATCTTTTCTGCACTTGAGTCTTTTTATTTTTTATTCTATTTTGCTTTAGATTTTCTCTGCACTTGAGTATTATATACTCTTTTGCCTTAGATTTTTTTCTGCACTTGAGTATTATATACTCTTTTGCTTTAGATAACTATTTTATACTCTTTTTAGCTACCTTTACGCTCTTACCCCCATTCCTTATCGGGGGTAAATAAGGTGAATATTACTTTATTAAATTGAAACTATTCTATTATAGTGGAATGACCCACCTACCTTTACGCTCTTACCCCCATTCCTTATCGGGGGTAGATAAGGGTGAATATTACTTTATTTTATACTCTATTTTT